TCTATTGATGCTGCTCACTTTTGTGCTGGGGTGTTTTCCTTGCCGGGGATGACAAACAGGCTGTTTGTGCAGTATTGGAGATTTGTGCAGAGAGGCTCCTGTGAAGGTGCTCTTTTAGCCCGGGATCCTGCATATCAATGGGTCCCTTGCTGGGACATGGAGGGCTGATCTTGAAATAGATATGTGGATTCTTGCATTCAGCAGCTGTCGTCAGAGCACATAGTGTGCTGCTCTATTGTCTGCTGAAGGATTCACCCTTCACACTTTGATTTGGAGTATGTTTAGAGTTTGGCCATATATGAATGCAGGTCTTAAGTGACTAATGAGGATATTATGTAGCTATTAGTCAGAGCTTATGTCTCTGCCTCCTGCTCTAAGCTGTTTTGACGTAGCATGTATGTCTGATGTATTGCAACACCATTTCTTCATGACAGCATATCTGATTGACCTTTCCAATAAGACTGTGTGTGTGTGTGTGTGTGTGTGTGTGTGTGTGTGTGTGTGTGTGTGTGTACATTTGTGAGTTTTTTTTTGTGGTGATGTTTTTAAGCGCAGGTTTATGTGAAAGTGTGGCATCACTTGTGATTTGACAGATGAGAAATAAACTGGAACACAGCCTATTTTGTCTCTGATGTAGGAGCAAGATTCCACCAAAAACCCAGAGGGGATATTTCTCTGAGGTGCCTGTAATGAGACTTGTAGCCCACACACACAGAGATAACTGTGATTACAGTGCAAGTATCACTTTAAAGATAAGTGCTGCTAAAGGATAATGACAGTTTATGACAACTCGAGTATAATTTTCGTAGTTTTGGCCATCATTCTTATCTGTATCAATAACACCGCACTCAGCAAGTTGTTGCTGAGATCTCAGCTTAAGAAAAACCAGCAGTCAGACTGTCAGGCAAAAAAATTAGTAACTTACTATGTAAGTTAATAAATTATTAAATAAGTTTTTACATTTTAAATATTTAATTTTCTCTTAATAAGTTAACTTATTAAATTAAATTTATTAATACTCTGGTATATAAAATGTTAGAAAATAGTAAAAAATTCCCACAATATTTTCCCAGACCCCAAAATGACTTTTCAAACTGCTTGTTTTTGTCAGATCAATTTCCAAACCAAGAGATATCCAATTTTATATCATAGAAGACCAAGAAAACCAGCAAATATTCACATTTGAGAGGGAATTTGGGGCGTTTTTGCTGAAAAAATGACAAAAGAAATCAGTCAACAAAATTGTTGCTATACTGTAAGTATGAAGAACACAAAAAACTCAGTGTTAGAGCTTCAGTTTAGCTCTTTATTTTCTGCTGTGATGTTTTTCAGCACAGAAACCTTCATTAGAGTAGTTCTTCCTCTTCTTTTTCTAGAGAATAGGCATCAACCTGAGGTGTGTAGTCGAGATAGTGTTACCACAATGAACAATAATCAAAATATAACAAACACACATTACACCATGACATCCAATGCTGTGCTGAAAGTACTGATGTAGACACACTGTAAAACCTAAACACACATAAAACAAATACTGTCCTGATCAAAACTAACAACATGTTTGAGTTAGCTTCCCTTGCTGTGGTGCTTTCAGATCATTTCATTTATTTTTCCTATTAAAACACTCATTGGACACATGTTCTCATTGCTGTGCTCCAGAAAGCCATAATCCTGCACTTTGCTAGTGTCTGGGGACAGCAGAACATTACCCTCTGAAGTTGTACAGTGACACCGTGATGACACTGGAGTGTGTATGTGTCAGCTCTCCTGGGACTGGCCACTCTCCCTTAGCACAGATTGGAGGTGAGACCTTGAAGAAAAATTATTACTTTTATGTTTGCTTTATGGCTCATTTTTCACATTATACGCAGAAAATCTATTCAGAGGTCACAGAATTCCTGCTTCTCGTCGTCGGCCAGAACTAATTTTTGCAGCCCTCGGTATCGATAAAGCATTCAGCGGAGCAAAGTATGCAGGCTATGTACTGCAGCTCTCAAGTCTCTATTTTCCACCAGCCAGTCTATTGGGACTTGTTCAGCCCATATCTGCAGGGGTTTTGGAAATGTCAACTACACACTTGCACGACCACACACACTCACACACGCACACGGAGAGCGAGCACAGTTGCCGTTGTGTCATTGTGCCCTTATCTGCGAGCAGTGTACCCAGTATGACTCGTGATAAGAGATAGCATTGCCAGAACGAGTCATAAAACCCAAGCTTTTATGGTGCGGTTATTGTCTTTCTGTCTACAATTATGGTGATTACTCATTTCCCCTTACCTCCCCCATGGCCCTCATGGTGCACTTAATAGACTGCATTTTACTAATGGAAAATTAAGTAGCCATCGTGGCAGTGGGGTTTATAAATATGTAAAATATACTTTTAATTATTTCAAGTGAATCTGGCAGCTAATCAATAAAGAGGGACGTGACAAACATACGTTTGACACAGGCCATTGTAAAGCTACTGGTAAAAGATAAGCATGGCCTGTCAGCGCAGTCCAGCCCTAATGAATATTTTGAGCCTGTCATGTAAGGAGACAAATGGATTAATTGCGCCCTGCTAATATAATAGCTTCTTCATGAAGAGTGCAGGAGGGAGGCAGAGGAGAGGAGAGGGAGCAGAGCAGCTGCGAGGCTCTGAACCCTGATGTCAAATAAATATTTATTAGGGTTGAGGGTTAAGTAGATTTTTGCGATTACACGGATAGCCACTTAAGCATAGTTGTTTATCATTTATTTGAAAATTGATTCATGCCGATTTGTTTGATGTCATATTAATTTTATTTTTAGTAGTCTCAGGGATTGAAGGCGTATAGAGGGATCAGCTTCCACTGCAAAAGAGACAGTGGCTGTTTGGCCTGAAAGTGAAGTTCAATTGATCACTTGTTTATATTTTTTTATTTTGTGCAGAGAATCATTATTCAGGAGTCCTTGCAGTCAATAATCTATTGAGTATATGAGTATGTTTTAATTACCCGATTGATCATTTTGTTTGATAAAAGCCAGAAAGTAGTGAAAAATGCCCGTCACAGTTTCCCAGATCCCAAGGAGAAATCTTTATATTTAACAGTCCCAAAGATTTACAGTTAATTAACAGTTTACAATACTGTAAAACAGAGAAAAGCAGAACATCCTCATATCCTTGCAGCTGGAACCAGTTAATCTTTGACTATTTAAACCATTAATCAATGACTAAAATTTTTGTCTGTTAATTTTCTGTTGATCAAGCAGCAGTAGTGCTTTGACTTTGCAGAGAAAATACAGCACTGCAATTTAATTTGTAATAGAAAGAAATATATCTTTTTTTTCCCCATAATTTCCCACGTGTCATATTTCAACACAGTCATTTTTATTTCACTACCCACTGAAATATTTACACAAACAGCAGCGGTTAGCACAGTGGCACCATTTTGACAAATAGCAGAGTTTTCCCTCTGTCGCCCTGTTTTCCTATCCATCTCTGTCTCCAAGTCTGTTGTCGGCACTTTAAGGTGAAAGAGAACATAAAGACAAGTGAGCACAAATAAGTGTGAGGGGGCCTTCTTCCTGGAAGCCGTCCTCTCGCAATGGGAAGCTGTGACCTTGAGTCCTGTGTTAGCCCAACGCCCCTCTGATATGCCCCCCCCCCCTCTCCTTTTTTCTCTGTCCTCCGTCAGAGCAGGAAAAGGAATGACGGAGGGAGGGGAGCGCGGCGGAGGTTCAGGTCACCAGCCGCTGTTCTCATCAATTAAATGTGCGACAGTGTTTTCCGTCGGCTGAACTTATATGTCAAGGAGATGGGCAGGACCTCATGTTTGTGCTTTTGACAAATCAGCAAATGTTTAATCTCAAGATGCGCCGGCACTCATAAATAATGCAGAGGCCAGGCCGGGCCCAAACTCTCTCCCAGCATGTCGGGAGAGACACATCTGCCCCCCGGCCTCAATAGGAAAATGCAAGAAAACATGAAATCCTCCTGCACGAGGGCCTTTTCTTCCACAGATGTCTCCTCCTTCTTTTGATCACACCCGTTCAGCCTGTTTTACTGTACCTGAGTCTTATCTCCCTGTTCAGTCTTATCTACTTCCTTCTAGCTCTGTCATTGTATTTCTTATCTTACTCTTTGTCTTTTGCCACGATTTCCTCTCTCTACTCACTTATGTTTTAATTTGGTGGCTCTGGTCTTCATAGCAAAAGTTACTCACCACCCTCTGCCTTTCTTTGAGGGGAAAAAGGAGTCTCAGAATTATCCTGAGCCAAAGGTCTGCTATCTCAAAGACACAGAGGATTGAGCTTGAGCTTTGCCTCCATTTGCCCTAAATGTAAAGAGGGCAACAGAAAGCAGTGTAGTGGACTGTGAACCGCATCAAATCCCCCTCTGCACGACTCGTACTTCTTCCCACAGACTTTGATTGGCTTGTCCAGCGACTGGGAAAGTTTCCTGATTGTTCACAGGGAAAATTAAGATTTTAAGCCTATTGAAGTTGATCTTTGCTCATTCAAAAGTCCATCTGAATGTGTCCTTTGAAAGCTCAAATTGTTGACTCGCCACATTAGAAGACTCTAAGCTGGAGAATGGGGTGTACTGAGTGTACTGTACGGAGAGCACGTTGCACCTGTTGTTGTGTAGTTGATGGTGTGTAGTGTTTGCCGCTTCCCATTGAGCGGAGCTGTGGGAAGTGTGCTGTGGAGTGTGTTAAAGAGTGCAGCTCTATACTTTCAGCCCAGTTTATTAGTGGAGCATTCTCACATGAAGTCCTTTGTACACTCAGCACTGTGAAAAGGTTATGAGCAGGGAAACGGGAGAACAATGTGATAAATTGTCGCTCCTGAACAGGTTTGAGATTTGGCAGAAATGGTGGGAAATGTTGATGAGTTTTAGCCGCTGCTTCATGTGGAGAATCTTCATCTGTGAAGGGATTTGGCAAATCTGGACTGGATCCAGATCCAGTCAAAAAATGAAAGTCTTAAAAAAAAGTATGGAATCATTCAATCATTCATTCTTTTCTTTTACAGGCTCTTGGAAGTTTCTACTTTATCCACGAGTCTTTGAAAAACATCCACCAGTTTGATTTCAAAGGTGAGTACCTCCCTCCAACACACTTCCTCATATACATCATCATCACCTCTGTGTTGAAATGAAATCCTCACATCCTGCCCCCTCATCCCACCCCTGCATATCACACACAACCATTCGCAGGCTATTCCCGCTTCCATCAAAACCAGCGAGCTAAGATTGGCTTTGAGGATAATGTAAAGGGAGCGCGACAGAATGGTAATGCTTATTAATATTAGGATTTAATTCATAAGATTTCGGGCCTACAGTAATGGTGTGTGGCGGGTTATTGGACAGTTACAGCGGTCCCATCAGCCTGCGGTGTCAGAGGGCCCCGGGGGCCAGCGGCCGCGCTAATTAAAGAAGGGATATAGATGTGGAGGCACCTTGCTTCCTATTAGACCCAAGTCAGCATTAGCACCAGTTACCCCAGTGAAGGACAGGGCGAAGGCAGGGGAGGGGTCGAGAGGGGAGAGGACCACTCCCCTTGTACACACAAGATTTGATTTAAAATCAGAATTACATAAACTACTGTACATACCATGTAGATTTGTTTTCTTTTGTAACAGGCCTTTTTCACAGCGGATGTTTAGACCTGTCACAGTAAGAAACGCACAGGTGGCACCAACAACATGAACAATGCCTTTGTTTTGTTCAAGTGTCCCAGTAAACCATGACGGTTTGACAGCGAGCCACCCTGCGAACAATACCAGCACCCTGAAACTGAAACCGCTAAATGGAATTCAGCCATTATTCATTTTAGTATGTACACCTGTGCTTTTCCTTCTGCTGTGGAAAAAGCCCGTGGATGATCATCAAGAGAGAAATGAAGGCTCCTGCTACAGTACGGTCACCCTGCAGGTGTAACGGATACAACACTCAAACAGAAAACAAAACAAACTGTGGCTTTACACAATTCCATATTTTTTCTCCTTAGGCCTTAAATGTGTAAAAACTGTGTTTTTCAACTTTCATCATACATTTTAAAGATCGTTTTCTCATAGATTTTAGTGCAAAATGCAAATAATAGAATCTCTTAAATGAAAAATGTGATGCAGCTTTAATTTTTATACAGAACTTTTTAGGAAAAGGCAACTCTTGATAAAAACTAAATTGAAGAATAAAAATGATCAGATTGATTTAATATTGTCATCTTGTCGATACTGTCATCATATGATTCTGATCAAAACAATTTGTTGTTGCGCCCATAAGTGACACCAGTTCTCCCCCAGACACATTAAATCAACTTTTGATATGGAGTTTTTAGGCACGTTGCTTGTGTTGCACTGTCAGGTCAGGACAGTTGTATTTATGTTGGCCAACATAACAATTTAAAACTTTGTGTCAGGAGACTTTACAATCTCGACAACATACACCACAGTCTGTCCTTAGACGCTGAGTTCAGATAAGGAAACACCCTGGGATGAAAACGTTAAACCTCAGAAAGACCAAGAAGGATGAACCCGTCTTCCAGGACAGACAGACTCGCAATAGGTTCTTTATCAACCTTGTTATTTTATGTTAATGTTATGGTAAACACAGAGTAAATACTGCAGCTGTTTCTAAAGTCTTACTGAAATCATGTTCATACAAGAGAGTTACCTCAGTCTTCTCTGAGGTCTTTACTCAGGATATATATGATCTTGATTCACTTGAGTCAGTATTCACACACTGCAGCAGTCTTCCTCTGAGATAAAAAAGAGACATATCTTTATTTTAAATTTTACCCACGTTGTGACCTCTCACACTCTTCTTTTAGCTGAATGCAGATGTTCCTCATTCTGACCAGCAGGTGGGGCAGTTGTCTGAGGAAGGCCAGGTGGCTCCTGCTCTCAGCTCGCTCTAATGGTGTTAGGAGATTCTCAATCACATCATGGGGTCTCCAAAAATTAACCTGCCATGTTCATAACATTAAACTGGCTTCCTTGCTCTCCACCTCCTCCCCCTCTCTGTCTCTATCTCTTTCTGTCTGTCCTCCTTCCATCTCCCCTCCAGCCAAGAAATTCAAGAAGGTGGTGGGGAAGGAAACCTGCTCAGAGACACTAGAAAGCACACCTTCGCTGGAGAAGGAAAAGTTTCCGCAGGATTACTTTCCTGAGGTGGGTTCTGTGGTAAACACACTTGACTGACTGATGGTGGTGATGTTGTCTAATGACGGCTTCCTGTTGAGACGCTGACTGACAGATATCGCAGAGAGGACGGTGGATGTGTGTCAGGACAAATGAACACGCAGGACAAGTCTACGCATATAATTTAATGTTATGTATAATATAGACACATGAAATTTGATACATTAAATTAAAAAAAGATAACAATTTATACAAAATAGAGATTTCCCTTTCCCAACTTTTTATTGATTTTTAAAAAGCCATTTCATTTCCTGTGTCTCTTTTCTTTTGTTTTACAGTCCAATTCTTTTTCTGCTTCAAGGAAATCCCTCTGACACATGGCTGATTTGAAAACAAATCAGTCAAAAAATTCAAATTGTGAAACGGAGAAAGTCCTCGTTGTGTCTGCCGTGTCCCGCAGAGCAATTCTCTGCTCACTCCACTGTGTTCAGTTTGCTGGTTTTCGGTGCGGTGTGTGCCATCAGGGGGGGAGCTGAGCGCTGAGCATAGCAGTGCTGATATAGTAATAAAGAGCACGACTGCCCGTGTGTCATCCCTGCACTCCCCACTCATCTGTCAACCATGCTCCGACGGCCGCCTCTGCAAATATATGCAAAACAGATGGATACGGCCCCTTCACACACTTCCCCCCAATTTCCGTCTCTTTCACACACTGCAGGACCCCCCCACCCACTCCCAACCTCCTCTCTGCCCACCCTGAGCCACCCTAGACATACACACAAACATATGCATTCACACACACCCCAACAGCCTCACGTCTCTGGTTTCCCATTTTCCCATTCCAGAGATGATCTAAAACCAATTACACTGATTGAGGCGCAAAGCCATTTAAAATGATTACAGCGAAGCATTGTTCTGCGTTTAACAGGACAAGCAAAGAAAACCACAAAACAAACCTGGCACAGCGTACTGTGAGAAGGATGAGGGGAGTGATGTAGAGAGAAAGGAGGTGTATGGTGTATGGTGTGTGTGTGTGGGGGGGGCAGATGAGAAAAGTTTTGCCCGGTGATTTATGCCTCTTTCCCGGCTGGGATATGAATCTGGGATGATGCTCCAGAGAGCAGCACTCCAGATAATGTTAGCCCATTTAAAAAGAGCAGATTTGTGTAGTCTATCAGGGTCGCCGAGTATTTTTTTTTTCTCCTGTCTCCCTCCTCCTCCTGCTCCTCCCCTCCGTAGTGAGAAATTGGTTGTTATCATAGATCACAGATACTGCTCAAACCTCTTATGAAAGATGAATTAATTTCACTAATGCTTTAATGCAAAGCTCTCATGAGGGAGGCAGACTGGTGATAACCCCTGCCTCGTCTCCGCTTCCTCCGCTAGTGATTTATGCCCTCTTTTAGTAGATGAAACCGCCTAGATTTGCCATCCATCTGCAGCTTTGAGGAATCCTATTACACAGGAATCCTGGACCAGACAGGACGCCACACAGAGTCCTGAACCAGGTGCTCGAGTCCCGGCTCGCTCAGTTTTTGGATCCTGACACCCGAACCAAATTATTTAAAGTTAACAAAACAGGCCAGGTATCTTATTTACATGCTCATAAGTTATTTTCCAGTGCAACTAAAAACTTGGATTTGAAACTGATCCAGGAAGGTGAGAGAGTGACAGCAGACAGCTCAGGTGGCTGATGGGAGACAGATGTGTGTGTTTCCCTGCTTGTGTCTTTACCTTTACGGGCCCCCATTAATAAAGTGTCACTGACTGAGATGCTGATGACATCATGGTGGGAGGGCTTGGTGTATGTGTGTGTGTGTGAATGTGTGAGTGTGTGTGTTTAAGACAGAAACAAAATGTCATTCAGTACATTTCAGAGCACCTGAGTGGTACATGGTGGTTTAGACACAGGAAGTGTGTGTCCATAAGATTGCGAGTGCAGAGCAAGGCTGCAACTAGCAATGATCTTAATCCTTGATTAATCTGTCAATTATTTTCAAGATTAGTTGATTGATTGTTTTGTTTGTAGAGACCACCAGTTTCACAGAGGTGATGTCTTCAAATTTCCCAACTCAAAGATTTTTAATTGTCAATGATATAAAACAGAGAAGAGAGTTTGTTCTCTTTTACATTTAAGGAGCTGTTGTTTTTGTTTCAACTTTTTTTAAGTATGTTTTTTGGGCTTTTTTATGCCTTTATTTGATAGTACAGTAGAGAGAGACAGGAAATGGGGAGGCAGAGAGGGGGAATGACATGCAGCAAAGACCGTCCGATGCCGGACTCGAACCGGGGCCGACTGCAGCGAGGACTGTAGCCTCTACACATGGGGCTTAGACCACTACGCCACACGACGCCCCTGTTTTAACTTTTTAAACTTGAAAGGTGACTCAGATGAATAATTGATTATCAGAATGGATTAATTTCTGTTGATTCATTAATCGATTAACTTTTAGCTCTTGATCTCCCAACCAGTGCAGAAGGAAAACAATCAGAAATTAAACCAGACAAATCTTTTTTTCTTTTTTTTTTGTCTGAATAATAATTAAAATGTGTTGGAAAGATCCATTTTAATTTAACCTAAATCAGGCTCATGATGATTTAAAAGTGGCCAAACTTATTGTCATAAAATAAAATATTGGCTATTGGCTAATATTGGCACTTCCATTCACACTTTCTGCTCGTGGCTCTTTCTTCTCCTAGTTTGATTCTGATTTAAGTGACAACCCCTCCGTATGCAAAACATCAGTTCTTTCCGTAATCCCAGCCTGAGTTATAGCTGTAAGTGAAGGGGAGAGAAGCGGGAACATTAATTGAAATGCTGAATAAGAAGGAAGTGGACAAAATTGTAGGCGCATTTCTTTTGAAAGGTCGCCGTGATGGATTTGGCGGCTTGTCGTTTCCCGTTGTTCCGTCAATCTCTCCATCTCCCCAGTGGACATTAATATATTTATTTGTTTGGCGCGGTAATACATGCCTCCAAAAACCATTGCATCATAAGGATTTGTCATTGCCTTATATAAATAAAGTATACGACCCAGACCTTAATGTGCCCTTGCTATTGATTGTTTTACACAGCCGGAGAAAAAAGAGAAAGGAAGAAAATAGGCGACAGGCTGTAGATCAACATCCATATGAGTTTCTATTTGTTGTTTGGCACCATGAGCGTGTCCATAAAAGCATTGACTTTTCATAGCCTTTTAGTGCCCTCTGTAGTAAGCTCCGATACGGGGCTGTGATTACTTTCAAGTTCTGCCCCTGATGAAAGTTAACTTCCTTCACATTTTCCTCCTTTGATTTAAACCCCACATGTGATTCATAGATGCGATGCGTACGTTAAGGAGATGAAGTCATTTAAACTGGCATTGCCTGTAAAATGCTCTCTGCATTTATCACCAGACAAGACACCTGTGACACAGATGCTGTTGTCGGTGACAGGTGTGATCCATGAGACTGCAAGCAGCTCATAAATGTGGCGATAATGTTGAAATGAAAGCCAAATCAAGGCTTTCTACACTCATTTTTTCGAAAACAGAAGGATCAGAAAAAACACTTCAGTTTACTTCAAAACTCTTTTCAGGATGTTTTAAATCGTTTTGCTTTCAGCTTCTCACCATGTGGATTTTTAGAGCTCTCGACATTGTTGCATCGTGTTTACTGCAATATGTGAGTGGTGACAATGACAGAGACTGCCCTCTGTACTTGTGGTACATCAGAACACACACACACACACACACACACACGTACTAACGTGTGTTGTCCAGTTATATAAACCCAATGTGAGGCCTCTCTCTTATTTGATGGGCCCCCCTGGATGATGGAATAAAGATAAATGTGACTGTCTACCGGGGCACAAATCAATCAGCGTTTGTGTGTATTACTTATTACTCACAGTGCATTTCTGTCACGGGGCTTTTGTGTAACCCCTCCTCACACCCCCTCCCTGTCCGGCACTCTTCTATCACCCCCCCACCACCACCACCAAACATCACCCAGCCATAATATTATTTATGGGGGTCGGACTTTGAGCTGAAATATAAGAAAGGTCAAAGAATCAAACGGGATGGACCGGGAAATGGTGATGGGAGGGTGTTTTAGACAAGGACTGGGAGCAGGACCGTGTGTGTGTGTGTGTGTGTGTGTGTGTGTGTGTGTGTGTGTGTGTCTTGACTGTGTCACGTCTGACATTTTATAGACGCGTAATTTTCCATTGGTCACAATTGGGGAGTTTTATGTAGTGGTCTCAAGTTTCAAGTGAATCTGATGGTGTGTAGTTTCCTCTCCCTCTTATCTTGTTTTTTTTTTTTTTTTCTTTTTGCTCTATCTCATGTCCCTCATCTTCTGTGTGTGTGTGTGTGTGTGTGTGTGTGTGTGTGTGTGTGTGTGTGTGTGTGTGTGTGTGTGTGTGTGTGTGGTGGTCAGCTTGTATATGTATTGGCCAACACCCTTGGATGTGACCCACTGTGTAGCTGCCGTTCATCACTGTCATGGGCGGAGACGCCATCGCTGACCTGTGGAAGGTCAGCCAATGTCAACCCAAGCCTTGTGACCTTTTACCGTTGCCCTTTGACTCCAACCCTCGTCCCCGCTCAGTGACTCTTTACAGCCACCAATCCTGATATATGATTTGATTACAGGTCACTATCCATTTCATCTAGCTACATCCTCTATTCTAAATAACAGCGACATAACATATCAGAGAGCAAATTGGCTAAATTCATCCGTTTTTTTAAAAAGATGGGTGTGTGTGTGTGTGTGTGTGTGTGTGTATGTGTGTGTGTGTGTGTGTGTGTGTGTGTGTGTGTGTGTTTGTGTGTGGATGGGGGAGGAAGGGGTGATGATGATGTTTCAGCAGGAGATTAAATGGGGCCGGACAGCATCTGTGTCATCATCTCTGCTGCAATATCAGCTGCAGCAACCAAATCATGATGTCATCATGTCAACCAGTCGAAGGGGACACTTTTCTTCTTCTGCACTTTGATTGATTGTGTGAGATAATCATCTTAACTAGACTCCTATTACAAAATAAAAGCACTTAAATTTGGTAAAGAAAAAAACATATGAGTGTATTTTTTTAAACTTTATGATATGTGGATGCATGTTTTACTTGACTGCGATGGTCGTCCACATGATTACTGTGTGTGTGTGTTCTGAGCGTGTTTATAAGCAAGCGATGAAGCAGGGGGTCAATCAGTCATACGTGGAGGAAATGGGGCAATCTGGGGCCGGGTGTCAGGGGAGTGATGGATTTTAATGCTGCGATTGTAGTTAATGGCTCTTTAAATTAAATCGAGATTAAACGTCTCTGGCTCCAGTCAGAGCTTGTATGTACTCTGAGCAAGTACCCCCCCCCCCCCCCCAAACACTCAAACACTCACTCTTCATCTTCTCCATCCTCATCCTCCCCACTCTAAGACTTTCTCCCCTCAACTTACTTCAACAAACACATACGGTGCAGTAATGGATATTCCATGCAACAAAGTCATGTTCAAGTCAGTGTCTATACATTTTGTGTACATAAACACATGAATGTGATTACTGCACTTAGTTACTCAATCCTCATTGCTCGTGTTTATCTTTTAGATATATTGAGTTAGTTTAAAAAACATATTTCTTCAAGTGTAAGGTCAATCAGTTTTGATGCAGTGTGACACTCACATCTAATTCCATTTGCTCCTTTCAAAGTCACAATATTGGGACAGCGAGTTATAATTGGGCCCATACATTCTGCCGAGGCAGTATGGATTAATTCAAGTATGCTAATGTAATTCAATTTGATACAGTTAATCTTGTACTAATGCAGATTGAAGGATGTGAGGTGCAATCAAATACCTCTTAGCCCTTTAATTTGCATCTAAGATTTTTAAATAAAATTAGTCAATTTGTAATTTTGTGACCTGGCCCATAATTAGTTTATTCATCACTGCAGTTAACTCCCCATCAGGAGTATCGGAGAGAGATGGACAGAAAAAGAGAGAGGCTGAGGGAAAGAGACTTATTTATCTATTCAGAATGAGAACACTCACAACATCAATTTGTCTCTCATTTAATAACCAGCTTCATGGTGAATCATGTGCTGTTTGAGAAAGAGCTTTGGACTTGTGATTGGATAATTAACTCGAGGCTGGTGGGATCTGATCAAACAGCTGCATACTAGATGTCTACATGCTATGCTTTTTATATTTTGTATAACTTTCACCGAAACAGGTTGTAGGTTCTGGATTGAAGCCGTTCATACAACACTTCTCTGTGTTATTTGTCATTATTTTTCATTATTTATTATTTATCAAACATGTTGCAAATCAACTGACAAGAAATTTCAAACTGACTTTTGAAGTGACTGAAAAATCAAATGTATAGATACATTTTTGACTTCTGGCTTCCTGCCTGTTAACAATGTCTACATATTATTTGTATGTATTTATGTGTTCTTTAAGTGTAAGGCTGCAACTAATGATTACTTTCATTATAAATTAATTTGGATATTATTATTATTATTCTCTATAAAATGTATAAATCCAACTTACATTAATGCTGTCAAATTGCTTGTTTTGTCCAACCTACTGTGCAAATCCTGAGGATATTTTAATTAATTACATATAAAACACAAGAAAGTAACAAATCCTAATTTATATATTATAAGAATGCATCATATTTTGTGTGTAAACAATCTTAATGCGCACAGTAAATTGTAGCTGTAACTGTCAGAAACTGTAAATGTAGTGGAGTTAAAAGTAAAAATGTTGTTAAGTATAAAATATCATCAGACTGACCTGTTTTAGTTACGAACAAGTGCTTCAAAACTGTATCTAAGTGTAGTACTTGTGTAAATGTACTTACTTTGTAACTAAGTACTTCTCCTACTACTCCTAATCTATTCATTGACAATCATGTTTATCTGTATCTATTCATCAACAACTTTGTTCTGAAAGTGAGCAACTTTTATTCAAAAGTTTCATTTCATTGAAACCTTTAAAATTTGATGGATGAAAATTGAACTAAAAGTTTCTGATGGTGTTGAAAAAGGTAAAATATGAACCTGCTCTCAGGTAGTGGACATTGTTACTTCTCTTCCATAAATCATTTGATGCTGTTACTTTAATTTGCCTCATTATGACAGTTGAAGCCTCAGTAATGTCAAAGTCTACCACTGTCATGCTGAATTGAGTCTCTCTGTTCTGCAGTGCAAGTGGTCCAGAAAGGGATTCATCAGAACTCGATGGGCCCTGGCTGACTGGTGAGTTTTATTAATAAGTCCTTTCAATGACGCTTCCCACCTCATATCTGTTCAACCTTGAATCATTACAACTGTATCATTGAGATTAGAGATGAACATCTAACCATGTGAATCCTGTCTGGCTTCGCCCAGAAGCCACTGCAAGCTGTGTGTGCTGTGGTATCACAGACAGTACAGACACACACACACACACACACTGAGTTACATAGCTGAATCCTCTCCGGATAGTGTCCCACAGCAGCAAGCGGCGATTTGATTACACGTAATCATGTTAGTCAAGCAGTTGCATATGACAGATGACAAAAAACATTACATGCAATTGAACCTGTATGGGATGAATACAAACGCTGGCTTCCAGTGTGCAGAGCAGGGAATAGAAGGGGGGGTGAGCAGGCTGAGGGGGAGAAGAGGCAGGGATTGTAATCTAATAGAGGGATGACATGAGAACTAAAGAGCTGAAACGGTAAGCATTTAATAGGGGCATGACGTTTGACAAGAGCAGCAGAAAGAGAGACGCTGGTGAAGAATAGGGAGATCAGATCAGAGATGGGATAGACAGAGATAGCGAAGACCGTGCATGTATTCATCTGTTCAGGATGTCACTGTAGAATAAACCCCCTTGAGATAAGAGCAATTCCTCTGGGTCACCCTGCTGAACATTATACTAACAAAACACCCCAGATTGGCAGGATGAGCAGGGCGGTGTTCATCACTGTACATTGAGCTATCTTGCTTTTCCCTGACAGGACAAACTGAAAGGAAGCCGAGTGTTTTCACTGGTAGATATACGTATATGTTCACATGCTTGGGTTAAGAAGTGGTTACAGAGTCTTAATACATTTTATTTTATGCTGTTTACTTGGTGGATAGTATTTGTTACTCTGTCAGGACAGATATTTAAATAATGTTTAGCAAGTTGTAAATTTCAGAAATATACCAATAGTAGAGTAAGAAGAACAGTTTTGTCACTTGGAAATAAACTTCAAATATTTAATATTCTACATATTTATGTGGTTCTAGGGGAAGATGCTCACTCACACTTTGTTCTTTCATCCTAGTGCCTTTGATCTGGTCAACATCCACCTTTTCCATGATGCTTCCAACCTGGTGGCCTGGGAGAAAAGCCCCTCAGTCTACTCTGGGACCAGGCAGAAGGCCCTTGGCTACGTTTTAGACAGGTTTGTACGCACTGGACACCACCTCTGTTGCTCTTATGTTTTCATCTACCCACTACATCCTTGACAGATCAAGGGAAGAGACTAACTGTGTCTTCCATGACTAGATGTTGTCAGACTTGTCACTGTTTAAAGTGTTTGCTGGACTCACTCTCTGTGTAAAGTGTCTACTCTTAATTGAGAAGCATAATGAAATGAAATTAAGCAGGAAGCCTTCTGCTTATTTGGCAGTTTTTCAGATGACCTGTGAAATGTTGTTAATATATTTTGAAGGTAATAATGTCTTATAAATAATAATAAAACGTATATATAATGATAATAAATAAACTTATATAACAATAATAATAAAAGTTGTTCAGATTTATAGACTATTTAATCAAAAACTCTGACTGAGAAAGAACCAGAAAAAGCAGCTGACCACTTGATCTGACTTTATTTGTGATGTTTTGTCCAGTCTTCATCAGGTAAAATTCATATGGACAAACAGCACCAGTACCATATATACATATATATATACTGTATATATATATTTTTTTTAAAATATATTATTATTATTTTATTTTTTTTGAAGACATATACATATAAAGAAATATATGTAAAGAATGTGAATTGCATTTAAACAAAAAGGTAGTAGTAGCTAGTCACAAATCCACATTTTGTCTGATGTGACAAAACCTGTATTTATATTGTAAAGGATGATTTGAGTGAAACTGAACAGGAGAGGTACAGCAGAGAAGGATTCAGTCCTAGACCAGTGGGATTACATCTGTCTGTGGAAGTAGGGGGTCTTACTCACTACACGGTCTGTGAGTTCCCAAGTCTCTTTTATCTGTTCTTTTTCTGTCCCTCCCTCTAACTCCTTCTTACTTTCCAACATTTTCTGTTTTTTTTGTGTGATCTAATCCTATATTCATCCTCATTTCTGTCCCACTACTGTTAAATGGAAGAAAGCTACACGTCTGTCTATAACACTTTGGTCCAGAGCAAGATATCTCAAAAAATACTTACAAAAAAATTGATATGAAATTTGGCATTGATTGTCCTGGTATCCAGAATGAGTTGGATTTTCTGGTCCTCAAAGGATGAAACCGAATTTCATTGCCATGATATTTACCATATTCATTCTGCCGAGAGAATGAACTCTTTCCATTTTGGAAGGTGCATGAGTTCAGCCCTCAGGTCTGTTTTTCAGCTTTGCACATTAGATATGAAAAATTATTTCCCTGATATCAATTAAGTTTGCTATAAGTGTTCATAGTCCACAGAGGATGAACCTTTAAGTTTTTGTGCCTCTATTCCTATAGCACCAACATCAGGCAGAAATGTCCAGATCTATTTGAGGTGTATTGTTATTTAATAGGCAGTTTATGCTATATTTACATTTGTGCTCCCAAGAGGATCAACCATTAGAATTAATTAAACATTTTTAATTACCCTGGCAGGGGTGTGGGAATTCTTTAAAGTAATGGTAAAGATTTTTTCAGTCTGCACTGAGTATAGCCAGCCTCCATACAAACAGACCAGGCTATCTATTCATAGGCCACGGTAATGTGATTTATGGGATATCCATTTGCAGCGGAGCAGAATGATAGAGTACATGGTGCAACCCCTGCTCCCTACCTGGCCATGCTAACACAGAATAAAAGCCCAGTACCAGCCTCGCGGCAGGTGACCTCCCATTCAAATAGCATCAGAATGCACGACATGGCTCCCCGCCACCTCGACTTTGAATAACTACATGCATATATGGGTGGCATATATTATCTCCAGGCTTTCTGATGTGCATGAATTATGAGGCACTTTTTAAAGTATCCTCTCCAAGGCCATATTTTACCTGTGCTTCATTCTTGATTTGATGAAAGAATGGTCCGCCTTTAATGGACAGGGAAGTGGGAGTGTTTTTCAAGAATATGGCAGCTTTTGCTATTTTTATTACGCTGTAACTTACCTGGATTTACTGGCATCATGAAGTTTGAAAAGGACCTCTGTTGTTGCTTACATTCACGTGTTTTCATTGTATTTCCGCTGCTTTCATCATGCTTTTGCAAGTTGATTTATTTTTAAAGGTTCCCTTGTAAATACACCTAATAGCAGAGTCCCTCAGTTTTCGCTGGGTGGCTGAGTGGGATTGAATTGAAATTGTGTTGGCTGAGTTGCAGTTTCCATGCTCCCTCTTTCTAAATCCCCTTGTGTTGGGATGGTAACCCTGTTGTTACTTCTGGGCCATATCATTTAAAGGTTCTTTTTTGACAGGGGTGGGGATGAGGGGTAAGTGGTGTGAGGCAAGGTGGTGGTGGGGAGGTCGTTATATGTTCCGGCTACCCTGGTATTCCTTGCTAGGGGCACAGGGGTGGGATAGTGGGGGCATCGCGCCTCAGTCGCTCACTTTGGGGGAAACTGTCGGGCCCAGATCCGGAGCACCGAAGTGAGAAAAAGCTGGCGGTGCAGAGGGAAGGGAGGAGGAGCACAAAGGGTGCTTGGGCTCTGTAAAGGGCAGTGAATAATGGGTCGGTCCTTTCACAGAGGCTGCTAACCTTTTGGCAGCCACCAGCAAACTCCATTCTCCTCTGTCGATCTGGGAGGACAATGTGCCCAGGCCAGGCTTTGAATGAAGCGCTACCACCAACAGTGTTCCCATTCAGCGGCTGGTTGGGAACCATCTTTTTGGCTATTGTCCTAACTCTGACTCCTACCCCCAGAAAACAGAGCAGGAAAAGGGACAGGGGGAATATCTAAAGCCAAACTCCCCCCTCCTTCCCTCTTCTCTCTCCTCTCTCCCTCTCTGAGCTCTAATCTCTCATTGCGGAATGGGAGGAAGAGGAGGGGAGGGGTGCTGCTGAACACACCACCAGCCAAGATCCATGAGGCAGCCGGCACAGGAGCTGATCACACAGCAGTGCTGGGGACAGAGCTCTGCTGCCGGGCATCAAACTTCAGCCTCCATCTTATCTGGGGCCCAGGCCTAATAATGCAGCTTGCAGCCCATTGAGAACACATCTGATAAGCCTTTTCCTCTGTGGCCCTTTTAACTGCTAAACGGTGTTTATCTCCAAAGTGCTTCAAGGCCTCGGGGGAACAATGCTGAGAAGGAACAGCGTTTAGCCGGCCAGACCTCACTATTGAGTCACATCAAAAAAGCACTGCTCTAAAGCCTGTGCTGATGTGTGGGCCACTTCCATGAGAGCAAAGCAAGGCTCTGCTTGAAATGCTTTCCCTGCTTGTTTTCCTGTCCTTTGAAAATGCACATATGTGTTCAGGGCTGCATCAAGCATTATTTACATTGTTGACTCAGCTATGCCTTGATGTACAGAGATCATTGTTTTATAATCATGTCAAGGTTTAATTGATTTTGTGTGCACACAATGTAAAAAAAACTCACTATTTCTTCTTTATTTTTTAAGAATATTATTGAATCTGACACAAACTGCTGTAAAGGGACAAGATACTAGAGTATGCAGTAAAATGTATGTGTATTTATTTTAATCTGCCCGAGACAGCTGATGTAATGGAAGTGATAGTGTTAACCCCGGCCTCTCTAGAGGATGGAAAACATGGCTGCTAAATGAGCCTGTGAAATGATAGCATGAGATAAAATCAACAGTTTTTTTTTTTTTTTTTTCGTCTTCCTTGAAAAAAATCCCTTTTGTGTATTGGCATTTGTTTCTTTTTTCCAACCCCCATTCAGGGTGCCTGGTCCGGTTCAGGGGAGAACAGTTTTACATTACAACTGTGAAATCCTGGCATAAAGGCGTCCTTTGTGGCGCGCCATTATTTTCACACAAATATAGTCCATTGTCACAGTGCTGAAGTTAATTTGATCAACATTGGGGACATTTAACTGTTTTGTTCGCTGAAAAGACTTGTTTCATGCTCATTTTCGGGGCATTGAAAAGCAATGATTGGCAGAAAAATAATGTTGCCGTTAACAATTCAAAGCAATTAGTTTCCCATGGGGAGGCAGTGGGCCGCACTGGCCACCACACAGCGATGCTTTGTCATTTTATGGACGGTCATCAGTCAACTGTCAGAGTGTCTCAAAGAGCCCTCCAATCTAAATGTTTCCCTTTAGGCTTTTCCCAGAACAACAGGCTGAAAGAGGGGAGAAAGGCCGGCTAGTTTCCAGCCAATAGACATGTTGAGCTGCAAGAGGGAGGACTGGATAATCACAGGGAGATTCTCCATAAAGCCTGAATGAATTTATTAAAGAGACTAGTGTGTGCATGTATGTGTGCGTGCGTGCGCATGTGTGTCTATGCATGTATATATGCTAAGCGATCACATTTTCCAGTGCAGCGTCCATGTCATAACATGTACAATACAATACAATTCCATTTTTTCTGATTTGTTTATATCTGGTATCTAAATGAAAAGTAGGCACTTGTCTGGCTATACACGAATTACACTGTAACAATGTTTTGTGTGTGTGTGTGTGTGTGTGTGTGTGTGTGTGTGTGTGTGTGTGTGTGTGTGTGTCCAGGTGACCATGTGAATATGTTTGTGGTGTCACTGTGAGATTCTGAACTGCCTTCTCACCCTGGGAGGCCTCCAGGAGCAGAGGTTAATCTTCTCCAGTGTCTCTCTGCTCACAGAGCTGTTTATTACACACACACACACACACACACACACACACACACACACACACACACACACACAGAGTGCAGCAGTCACTGTGAGACAGGGTGAGGGACATACAGACATCACCATTTCTTTAGCACCTGAAAAGAGCTCATGTTCCCACAGTTTGTATTTATCAGTGTTGCCAGAATTATAACTTGTAAGTTAATAAGAAATTTAATATTCACATTATGAAGCCAGTATCGTGGCACGCAGCTGAAGTAATCAAGTGGAGTGTTTCCCAGGATTCCCAAGGAGACAGGTTTTGATGTTGGTTGGCTGCTCATCATTTTATCAGCTGGTACTGGCTCGCCTGCAATAACCTGTCTGGGAGACTGGGGCAAATAACCCCCCTGCCCCCCACCCCCTATTGTCCATGTTCCCATTAGCATCAGTTCATGGTAACTGGATAAGACTCAATTCATTTTGATATTTAATTTTGGTGCATTTCATCTTTTTAGGAAAACACACCATATGAGCACAATATAACTTAAAATAATAAAGTCTCATCACTAGATTTGGACACAGGGTATTAAGATTACATAATAATGCAGAATCTAGTTGATGCTGTACTTTAGCGTGAATTCCCTAACAAATTTAAAAGTGATCAAATGACCAAAAGCCAGTTGACACACAGGGAACCTGGGGCTATTGGGAACACTGGAGGTCTGGGACCATGAGGAAGGTGCCAGCTTTGCCCAGCTGGTAATCCAGCCTCGACTACAGGTGGTGTGTCATTCACTTCCTGAAATTATAGAATGATGTCCAATCCAGTCCATTTTATACAAAAGTCCATGCAGTGAAGATTCAGCAGACACTTCGCAGGGACAGTCAGAGAAAGTGTTGTCGCCTGCTCTGCACGTTATCCCATAAGTCGGCTCTACTTTTCCGTCTTCCCCATCTTGAGAACGTGTAGACAGTGCTGTTAGTTTGACCCGACTTATTCGTTAACCTCTGTGTGACCGCTGCAACATCCTTGCACCCCCTCAGCACCACATCTTTCCTGTGTGGTGTTCTCGTTGGGATGGGCGTCACTGAGGAGCCGGGGTGCTAACAGGGGGACGAGGGGAAGGCTGTCCTGCAGTGTCAAAGGTCCTGTCAGGCGCCACCCCAGGCCCATTCAGAAAGACGTCACCCAGCACATTCTTCACAATGTTAACATTCTCCCAAATTCTCAACATTTACTTACAATGGATGACTGCGCTCAGCCCAGCCATTGTGTGAAAAGTCGAATCTGACCGGCCAACTTATGGTAAGTCATCTTGTCAATATAATCATGACATGGCCCCCAGTTTCACCCTCATAATCCCGTATAGACTGTCTATTATGGTTCAGTTTAGCTGTCAATCATAGTGTATAATCTGCCGAGGAGTCGGCGAGAGGCTGAGGCTGCTGTGAAGGAGAAAGATTTAAAAGCAGGCAGGAATTGTTTAGGTCTACATGAGTGTTATCTGTGATTTAGATGCTGTCAGTGTCGTTGGTGCAAAAACATTTTTTTTCCATGTTTGTTCACTGCTATGACAGTATGTTTGTCTATGGGAGAAAAGTAGAATCAGAGAGAGAGAATGTGACGTTGCCGCTTTGTGCTGGTGGTTTAAGGAGCCTGGGAGCAGAGTCAGAGACTGTGTTATAAATTAGTGTCTGACCCCTGTCTTTGTGTGGCCCCTAGGAAGGCCTGACGAAGGCCCCAGCCCAAACCTCAGTGAGAACGGCCCTTGTGAAGAGTTTCTTTCAGGGGTGTCACTGCGGGATGAATTGGCCAGGAGAAAGCACGTTTATAGACTGTGTAAAGGAGTGCGTCTTTGTGGGAGAATGTCACTGACACTGTAACAGTTTGCGTGAATGAAGTGTGATGACGAGGCTAATGGAGGCCCCTGCCAGGGGTGAGGGTCAGTGAGGGGGGCCCCCCAGGCTCAGGGACCCCCCACCCGCAGGCCCTTTTCACGCCCAGTAGCTGTAGGTAATGTTGCAATTCTTCGCTCCTCCCCACAAAGGCCAAGAAAAAAGTCAACTTTCACACCAGTGGGTCACCATGAGTGCTTTAGGAAATGATCGTGTAAACACAGTGTTACCTTCTGACCTGTGGCTGATATCTTGGAGCGGCAGACAAAACAGCCAGGCTGCGGGTATTAGACATGGCTGTTAGCGGGATAAAGCTACAGGACGTAGAGGAGAAAGACCTCCAGGCTCTGGAGAAACACACATACACACTCTTCCTCCCTCTTCCACTTTTCAACTTCTCTTTTTATTTTGGGAGACTTCCCCACTCTCTTCTTCTCCCCTGTTCATCATCATCTCTTTTAGTTTTTGTATTGTGTCATTTTTGTGTCATTGTCTGATTGTCTCAGATTACTACAAAATAAAAGTAAAGGTTTAGTCAATTTACCTTTGGCTTTTATTTTGCACTCGCCACAGCAGATGTGGTAAGTTCTCTATCAGCACCAGGAGTACGGGAGTTCCCACGCCTGTAACAACTGCATTGACGTGTATGTTCAGTCATTTTACTGCCCTTCATTCAGAACAACAGGATAAACTGGCCACTAACCCTGTTTAAATAGAGCTGAGTCTCTTAGCACCAGAATGTGAAGTCATTAATGACATCAGTCCCAGTTTGAGTGTATTAACGAGCTACTACACACACACACACACACACACACACACACACACACACACACATACACACACATACATAGTCTTTATCAGGCTGTGATTAGTAGAACAGTTTAATTCAGTAGTATTGCTGAAAAATGTAACCATAGTGATAAGCAGTGAGTCAGATCGTAGGGGTTCAGTGTTTGGTTAAAGCATCAGTGTCTCCTCATAATGTTGACTTGTGGCTACTGGACCAGAGACTCTCTGGCTTTGAGACCATTGTAAGCAACTTTAAAAACTCAGTGCAGTAAGTGAACCAATTTGTTAATGTAGGAGACACATTGTCCTTGTTTTTAAGAAGATATCAGAGCCAGTGTTTCTGCTCTGATTACTGTGAAGAAGAGGTGCACTCAGGTAAATGAGCTAAACTTTTGTTTCCTGTGCTGAATTAATGTTATGTTGATGAAAGCAAATGGCACCTTATGAGTCAGTTACCATGAGCTTTTCAATATACTGCCCTGCCAAAAATATTTGACACGACTGTGATCAAACTTGCCTTTACCTTAAACAATAATTCATTGCATTTAATTACTTAAGAAAATTAGTCATTAAGTCTTTTTTCAAATGACAAAGATTCACTGTTTCAAGATTCTCAACTTTTCCAGTACAGCAAACTGAACATCTTTGGCTTTTAACCTCTGGAAGGACAAAACAAGCTACTTTAGACCAAATTATTAAATGACTACTTGAGAAAATAATTGGTAGTTGCAGCCCAAATAGCAAGAAAGTTCCATATTATTCAAAATAAAATATGGCAGGAAAATGGGACATCTCATTTTGAAGTGTTTGTTTACTCCAGAAAAGAATTAAGTTTATGTCCAACAGTCTCAATCATAACCATGAAACACTTTGATTGTTATTTTGGAAAATTCTAGATGATGTTCCCATCTTTATGTTGACCCCTCCTGAAAAGCCTCTGGAGGAGAAAGACGATCCAGTTTCTGTTTAATATAATGGGATGTCAAAATGACATACTCTCTATTTAATATAATAGCTGCGTTCCCCGCCTCTTACTCCAGTCACCTTCGCCTCCGTGCTGTTCCCTCTCCCTCCCTCCCAGAGAAGAAGTGGCCGTGCTTTACGACAGCCGGCCAGAGCCGAGACCCACCACTAAGAAGGAGCTTCTTCTCTCTTTACAGCCCCATAAATATATTGTTATCTGGGCCTGGGAAGTCCGTGGTGAGATTTATCCGTGCGATTAGTGGAGATAGCGAGCCAAGCATCCTGAATCATTAATTACACAAGAGGCTGCGCTACGTCCACCTTAATTTCCTATCTGTGCTCTGTAGAAGAGCCACTTTTAAGTAAGTGATGAGGCATAGGAGTTAATTATATGTCGCTTAGGTGTGTGTTTTTTTTTTTTTTTTTTAAGCACTGGGATGCTGGCCCTGTGGTGAGGTTCTAGAGATTTGGACGTAGTTCAGTGAGAGGATCTACACTCGATGAATCCACTGACACCAGACTCTCAGGTTTAGAAAGCAATGAAGTCAGTGCATTAAAAACATTTGCAAGACAAGTGACAAGTACAAGACAAGTCAGGCACAAATAGGAGTCACTTTAGTCACAGTCCTCCTGAGGTAGAGCCTGTGGCATCATGGGTAGATGGAGTCCTTCAAGCTGTTTCAAGTCTGTTTCTGACTCAGGGTCCCACAAGTCCACACATAAATCTACAGAGTGAGAGGGTTTGGGCTGCTTCCCTCTTCCTTTGATCAATCCAACTAATTGAATTTTCTTTTACTTCAAAGCAGATTATTAAAGAAATTATCAAGATTTATTATTTTAATTGTGGTGTTCGTGCTGAGAGTTTACAATTTGAACTGAAAGCATGTTTACTTGTGTTCAGGAACATGTTCAGCAGATAAGTCCTAAAAGATGAAGATAACCTGGTGCAGGGACGATGTGGGTGCTGTGAAAGATTCACTTGCTTTTGAATAAATAGTTGCACATAGGAAGCTGCAAACATGTTAAACAATATCATTAGGTTTATTTAATACATGGTTTTCTGAAGGTGACAGTATTATAAAGAAGATTTTTTCTTCAAGGTTGCGAGCTGTTTAAATACCTATATGTCTATGTCATCTATAAACCTTTAAGTCCTCATCCTAGGACTCATGTTTTTCCTGAAAATTTGTATTCTATATTATGTTCTGTTATTTTCTCTCTCTGCTCCATCATTACATCCATACTGTGTGTACTATCTTATAAATCATCAATGTCTACCAAAAGACTGTCAGAGCACAGAAAACTTTGCAAAGAATGTATCGTCTCAGCTCTGCAAATGTGAAAACCTTCTAATCAAAGTGTGCTGACCACTAGGTGGTGCTGTGGCCCTCATGAACTAAACACCCTGAGGTCAAGGGGATCATTAGATGCCCTCTTGAAAAGTCTTTGCCAGCTTATGGTGATGTTTGCCAACACTAATATGTTTTTCAGAATCTTCTCTGTTATTTGACATGACTGGTAATAATTTAGGATCATTAGGGTTGTGATTAGTTGTCTGGTGAGTTCAGGCTGCCAGCACCCGTCACAGATGTTACGATGTCCGTTTGAAAACATTGTCACTGACGAGTGTGTTGTAATGTTTTGCAGGATCACGGACCAGCGGTATGAAAAGGTGCCATATTTTGTCTTTGGGGACTTTAACTTCAGGTTGGACTCTAAGCAGGTTATTGAGGTGAGTGTTTTTTGTATTACACCTGGCGAATCAGAGATGGAAGTCTAATTGTCTAGATTACGTGTGCAATATGGGGAAATGTGCTCACAACTGTATGCTAATATATTATATACATATGCAGTAAAGTACTATCAAACTCATAGTAATATAAAGTGTATGTGTGCTTGTATTTGTGTGCATTAGAGAGAGACTGCAATATAGTAAAAGTGGCTTTAGTAGCCCCCTGTCTCTTCAGAGTTATGACTCATTAAACGCTTCACTGTGGCTGGCCCAGCTGTGTTTGCCAACTGAGCCTCCAAGTGCATTGTTATGTTATGGTGCCATTCACTGCTCTTTCTCTCAACCTTCCTCTCCTGCTCCCCCCCCCCCCCCCCCCCCCCCCTCCTCTCTCTTTTCCCTCTCCCCCCCCCTTTCTTCCTCTTTCTCCTCCTCCTCCTCCCCTCCTTCTCTTGGTGCAAATGAGGCCAATGAGAGCCAAGGTAGTGCAGTCATTCAGCATTCTCCATGACGCGATGGGGGGTTAGTGGCACAACAAGTCATAAAGGCCCACCACAGACAGCAGAGTCCTGTGATAACAGAGTGGGAGAGCCACTTGTTGGCCGATCCTCTCCCTCCTTTCCAGCACAATGGACCCTCGAATCAGTGGTCCTGTTCAAGGTGTGGGCATTGTTCATTTCAATCAGAGGCCCATTCATGAGAGAAGGGAAGAGGAGGGAAAGCTTTCTGAATGGCAGGGTTTTGCTCAAATGACTTAGGAAGGACTTCACTCTGTGTGGCGCTCAAGAACAAACCTTTTGTAGTTTAGTCATCCGGCCACTAGAGGTGCAGTCGTGTAAATCATCATCCCTTCTAGAGGGCCCAGCTTAAGTTGGATGGTCGTCACATGCTTTTACTCAGCAATCTATCAGGGGCATGGATTGATTGCCTCAAAGTTTGTGCAGTACATTTGATTTTGGTTCTGTAATTGGGTCACCCACTGATCATGTGAACATGCATTGCCGTGGACATAATAAATCCGAGCACAGAATTCACAACAGCAGATGTGCAAACACTGAGGCTATTCAGAATCCAACTATCGCAATTAGATGTGACCTGGCATACATTTAGGTCACAGTGATTTATAACAGTGAGATACTGGTTTGTATCTGATCAGCATTTCTGTGATAAAAGACACTGTGTTCTACACATTAAATTATATGAAATAGTTTTAGCTTCCCATGGCAGTTCTCAGTTTAATGCAGCATGGCCGCATTAAGATGAAAGGAAAGCATCCAATCAAACAGAGTCAGATGAGGTGATATCTGTGTAGCTAATCATGTTTCCTGTCTTGTCCGTGCTGCTCTCTGGTAGATGAGCTCTCACCCTCTCCGTGTCTCTACCGCTCTGAAACACTGTTTGAGTGCAGTAAGGGTCATGACCCCTTTTCGTGGGATGTGTTAGGCTTGCATCGGTGTGTATCCATCTCTGCCCCCTCTCCCCTCCACACAGCTCCTTTCTTATGCACCTTTGGCCCCCTATTCAAATCCTGAGCGAATACACACACACACACACAAACCAATTTGTTAGGCCAAATGAATCTGATTGATTCACCCCGTTTAAAGGGGTGTGGCAGCAATGCAGGGGGGGATGCCTTTTAGAGATCCCCTCAGGAAGTTAGAGCTGTGGGCTATGACATAAACCACACACACACCTAGACATTTTCCCTCTAGCTTAATGAGGGTTCTTCAAACATACTGACCATTTAATGGGGACAACAGAAAAGACTGATGATGTCATCTGTGAGAAACGTGCCATTAAAGGGGCAGCGCTACTTCGTATAAACCCTTCCTGTGCAGTGGTCAACCTGTCCGATTTAACAGTGACCTGTGTGTTAGCGGCAGAGAGAGCTGTGATATCACCAATAAACAAATGGGTTGCAACCTTGGCGCAGGATGTAACTCACAGCCGGGAGGCCATTTTAAGCCCTTTAATGACAATTAATGTCAACAGGACAATTAGTGCACATCCACTGAAGTGCTTAACTGTATATGGTCTGGTGGTGGATCGATCGTCCATACTTATCCGAAGATTGATTCAGACACGCAGAGGCTGGCTCTCATTCTCACTGTCTGAGAGTCTCATTTTTTTGCTTTCCGCACTATTCTCTCTCCACATTCGATCGATAGGAAAGGCCCTCAAAACCATGCGGATGAATAGATACTTTTTCTGTGTTAAGTGGATGAAATAATCGCAAAATTAAACTGCTTGTCTTTGTGATTTGCTGAAAACCAGAGACAACCCTTGAGCACCCATGAGGATCCCTAGGCCCCACCTTTAGAGTCACTGGATCAGAAAGTCCTGCAGTACATTTCTCTACAGCTGCACACTACACCACTTCTCTTCTTCTCTCTCCCTGGTCCATTGTGGGTGACTAGACTGTGGACAACCTCTAACCACTCCCCTGTCACCCATCCTCCCTTGTGGGTGGGTGGACGGGACAAGGGGGTATTTTAGGATGTATCCATGTGTGTACAGAAAAGGAGGTGGGTTTGGAAGGGGGTGGATTTGTTATTGTCACAGGGCAAATTCCAGGTGGCAAATTCCTGGCATGCTTTTGCGGCAGGATCAGTAACCAAAGGCCTGCGGCTGCCCCCCTTCTGCCCAGCCCGGGCAACCCCATTAATTGTGTCCGACAGAGGGAATTGGTTTCAATTGACCCTCATTCAGCGGCCCTTTGACTGGCAGACAAAGGACACAGCCACGTGGAGACTAATGCTAGGGCTGAGCAGCCTGGAGGTGGTCCAGTCCCCACCAACCACCTCTTTCCTCTCCCATGGGTCTGATCATGCTTCGCATCGGTGCTGATAAAACAGGAAACCGCAAAGGAAAGGTTTTGTCTGGCGAATCCGATATTTCACAGTCCACTTGCTGATGTGCTGTCTGCAATTCCTTACAATCCCTTATCAAGCACTTGTGCTCAAGACACATTCAAGCCAGCAGTGATTAACTGACTAAAGATGCAGTGCTTGTTTTTCTAGACCTGGAGACCTGTTACATTAAAATCAGAACTTCGCACCAAGCACACGGGACCTGATTCTTGAGTTTTCAAGGAAGATCTAAAGACCTCAATTAGATCGTTGGTATCTCATTGGTGCTGAGTGTGAACATTGAAATTACACCCCTTTTATTTTCAAACCCCATGCATTACATAAGAGACCAGAACATGTGCTCAGCCCATGTTTCATACAAGGTTCTTTACACATTGCTGCTGAACTTGAGATTACATTAAATCTTGTACAATTGTGTGAGTGAAACAGGTTACTGACATGGTAATTCACTAAGGACAGTCTGGTCTAACTACAATTGCTTTTCTTTATTTGGTCACCTTATTAAATGTGTGACAAATTTACATTTTATTGCTCTAAAATCATCTTTACAGTTCAGACCATAATGTATAATTAGGGAATAGAGGTCACTGCTAGAGGCTGAAGTGGGATTGGGATCCCTTCACAATTGTTGAGGGAAACAGTTGGGATGAAATTTCAAGCACAAATCTGAGAGTTCCATTAAAACAGCCCCCAAGACTCTATGCTTCAGTTAAGATAAAGAAGTTTCAGTTTATCATTGATCTCTCTTTCTCGCCCACTGCCTCTTTCTTGGCCTCTCTTTTATGACTAGTGATGTGGTCTGTTACACAAATCTTGTATTAACATCAAAATAATTCATTAAAATTGCATCTAATCAAACCTTGATTGGTAAACATTTGCACTGTCACTGCTGCTCTGAAGTTTGACACTCCAGTATCTGGTTTGTAGCTGCTGCAATAGGAATCAGCATTAACAATGACTTATTTTCATTTCTCATTCATTAACATTTCTATACACTTCTACTTCCCACTGCCTGAAACTGAGGCTGTTTTTTCTGTCTTCAAAGGCGGTTAATAAGCCTTGATTCTAGTTCATGTCTTGAGGTGAACTTTAACCAGTGTGATGGGGGCTGATAGAGTTACAGTAGACAACATCGCTACATGTACAACTCAGAATCTGAGTGGGAGGGTTAGGGTTAGAGGAAGCAGGAATAGGCTGGAGAATGTGCTAGAGCAGGAAATCCTGCTGGATCAGATAGGTGATAGTCCTACACAAACCGCTAATAACTTCCAGTTTCATCTTTGAAGTAAAAATGAAAGTACAATAGTTAAAATGTAGTAACCTTAAAAATCTTATTATCGAAACCATCTTCAGCCAAAGCTGAGCAGTGCCCTCCCTCGTTGGGACCTCAGTCATGAAGCCAGGTCACACAACCCTTGTTGACCCATTCACACCATCAGCAAGCACAGTTTTCTCTTGTTTCCATGCTTTAGGTAGAAGGTGGTATAATGTACAGTTGTGTGTGAGAGAGTGTGTGTGTGTGCGTCCCTTGTGGTGGCCGGTGGCTGTGAATCAGCGGTGTAGATGACAGGCTCAGGGCTCCGTGCCTGGACTCCTAGTATATTTAAAATCCCTCCTAATTAAACTTAATAGAATGTAAATTTAATATCTGCAGAGATTGTGTGCTGCTGGCCGGCCCGCTCCAATTTAAGGATTGATAGAGGCCAGCGGGAAGGTTAATTGCTGACTTGATCTACTGTCCCCGTGACATGGCGTGGGGCTGCTTTAATTGGGCCTGATCTGCTGCTACATGGACAGATTTCATTAGGTTAGCTGGCCTCGCATTGACTGCACAGTGGTTTGGATCAGCGCCCCCTCTCTGCATCTGCGGGAAGTGCAGAGGGCTGGACCAGGCATCAATCTTCCTTCCTTTGTCCTGTGTCCTTTTCTCTCGCTTGAGCAGCATGAAATTAAAGGTGGGGCCCCAGACTAGCCCCACTCCTAATGAATGCTGTAAAATGCTTGGTAATGACAGGCCAACATGATAGATCATTCATTTTTCACACTGTGGAGTCACTCTGTGTGCATGACCATGACAGTGGAGATAGAAATATAAGCAAGCAATTTTTGAGAGACACATTCAGGAAAAATCAT